ATTGTCCTCGTCATCCCATGTATTTAAGCCCTAGTCTGTGCAGTCTGTGTTTGTCCGGTCTACTACGTCCCTATGTGTGCATCCTGCCTGTCCGTCCTGTATCTACACTTTTGTGGATTATTAAAGTCCCCCTGTTGTCAAAAATTGTCTCATGCCTTAAAATAGCTTGAATGCAACTCTACACCCTTGCCTCATTTACTATACGTGGATCTATGAATACGCAAACTAGCCCTGCCTCCACTCAGTCACACACCAGCCAGCCATGAGCCAGTGCCTGCTGATCCACTAACTGAACTGTAGCAGGGTGTCTACAGATATGAACAAGTTAAATTTAAGACTTTTTAAGACCTTTTTAATACCACCTTATGTGAAATTTAAGACCAAGCCTGTGATGGAAATACACATATTACATACGTATATGTAATATTTAACGCTGGAGAAAATATTCAGCAATGGTGTTGATAAATGGATTGGCACATGGTTTGTCTTAAAGCATATGAAAAACACCACATAGACAAATAAACAACATAAAAAACTTTTTACGGAAAAAGATTTTTGCATTGCTCATTATCTTCCTCGTGCGTTTCATTCCACCGTAGATGTGACAGAAGACCAGACCTAGAAATAGAGAGGTCCCCGACATGTTTTCCCCGTTTATTTTTCCGTTTTTGTTTTTTTTGTCATGGATTATTACGCCTCCCAACTCATCTCCATTGCCCATGCTAAGCCTGACCTGCTCAACTTCGCCAGGGACTTCGGGACTCAGTGTTTTCAACGCGTCCTGCCCATTTGACGATGAAACACTGAAGTCTCTGTTCTGGATCGGGGCGAATCTTCACCATGCCATCGACCCCCCAGACACCACTGGACTAAGTTGGAGGGAGGCCATCATCCAGTGTCTGGGGAGCGTCAACCCCTGATCTGGAACACAGCCAGAGCCCGCCGCGACCAACGAGTCATCGCCAGAGAGAGCGACAGAGCTGAGGATCGCCCCGGAGCCAGAGCCTGTGACGTCAGACCAGGTGCGAGAGCCAGCTACAGTGCTCACCATGGGGGAGAGCGCTATGGACAGCGAGAGTGCAGAGGGAAGCTCCACCCACTGCACCATGGCTGAGGGTGAGCCGAGCTCAGTGGATTTAAATTCGGATATACATGCAGACATGCCCGCTCTTCTCCCGCCCTTTGTCTGAACTCTCTGTCTGCCCTCCCCCCCACCCTCCCTCTCCTGCCTTCTCCTGTCATCCCGGTTTCTTCAGCTCCACCACCGCTGCTTCCTGGCAGCCCCTCTGCTCACCATCTGTGCGGTGGGATTGCCGCGGGTCTGCCAGTCTCCATCGGCGTCATGGCTGGAGGATCCCTTGTCTCCGCCTCCAGCCTCTGAGTCCCGGACTCTGCCTTGGCCCTTCGACCCAGCGGCTCCACCATGGCTCCTAGCTCCCTTCTCTCCGCCGTGGCCCGTCAGTCCACCAGCTCCGCCGGGCTCCATCGTCCCTCCAGCTCCACCTTGGTCTGTCGTCGACCATCCGCCGCCTCGGGACTCCACTCCTCCGGCTACACCTCGTCTCTCTGTTCCTCTGGCTCTGTCAGGCTCCTCCTTCCCTCCGGCTCCACCTTGGTCCTCTGTCGCTCCGGCTCCACCGCGGCCTTCCGGATCCCCACCTCCGCCTCGGTCGCCGGAGCCATCTGCTCCGCCTTGGCCCTCCGGATCGCCTTCCGGGAGGGGGGCGATCTGTCACACCCCTGGACTGTTTTTGTTGTGTTTTCATCCCTCATGTGCTCCGTGACATCGTTTTCCCTCATGTTTAATTGTGTCATTTGGTTCAGGTGTGTCTTGTTTATTGTCCTTGTCATCCCATGTATTTAAGACTCTAAAATGCTTCACTCACAGAGCATCATTTCAAGTTTATTTAGATTTGCGACCAAAGGTAGTGCTCTACGAGTGGACGAGTTGTTTACTGCCTGACCAGTGGAAAAAGAACAGCAAAGAGCAAACACCGAAAATCCTCTGTGTCCTCAGCGGAGATGGACAGAGTGTCTGAAGGGGGATTGCAGGGCTCTGTTTCCTAATTCTTTGTTATTCACCACTGATAAATATCTGAGTTGAGAGAGCACTAGAAAATAACGCATAAAGATCACACGATTACATGTTCTCCGAATCACTGATAAAGCTGAGCTTATGTAGACAAGCTTAGTCTGTATAAAGTGACTGTCGCTCGATATTCAGGCTCGATCCGGTTTCCTCAAAGAAACTAAAAACAGCACAGCACTTCAATACATCAAATGTGATAATGGTCATGAGGTCAGCTGAACAGCGCTGCCTTTTTTTCAACAAGCAAGTGAAAACGATAATAGGAGCAAATTAAGTTAGGGGGTCCTGCATACCGATCAGACGAAAGTGTGACAGCGCGTTGACAGAGTTAGTGTCGCAAAGGATGGAGAAAGTTAAGATAGGCTCGCATGATGAATAAAGGAGTGACCCATGCTGGCTGTTATGAAACCACAAAGGGAACCTGGAGTAAAACTGAGGTGCTGCTCTATTTATAGATTTTGCTTTTGGAAACTGGCTGGGTTTTGGGTTTGTTTTGTGCAGGGGTCTTGTCCCAAGGGCCGAGATACTATTTGAACTCGTTTAGGCTCACATTACAAGTCCTGCTTTAGTGTAGGAATTAAATGTGTGTAAATTGTCTCCATGTGAGTATTGGGAAAAATTTAAT